AGCGAAACTCTGTCTCAAAAAAAAAAAAAAAAAAACAACAAAGAAAGGAGAACTAACTTTGCAGAGGATAAACCTGGCAGACACTACCTTAAACAAGTGATCATATTTATCATCAAGAAATAAGACACTGACATCATGTACCCCAGATATGATCCACGGAAAAGGGCACAGTATTACTGCTGTGTTATCTTTTGTCAAAAGTTCATAACCTTAATCTAATAATAAAAAATATCAGACAAATCCAAATTGGAGACTAGTGTACAAAGTTATGGTCTAGTATTCCTCAAATGTGTCAATTTAATGAAATACAAAGAAAGACTGAAGGAGCTCTCCCAGATTTGTAGTCAGGAGAGAGGGCAAAGAAAACACGCCAGATAAATGCAATATGGGATCTTGAATTGTATCCGGGATGAGATATAAAGGACGTTAGTAGGATAACTGGAAAATCTGAATATGGTCTGCAGGCTGGTTAATAGTATTACATTAATTTCCTGATTTCAATGATCACTGTATGCAATAATGCTATAATAAAGATTATGTAAAATGCTAATATCCAGAAAGCTGAGTACAGAATACACAGGAAATCTACTATTTTTGCAAATTTCCTGTAAGTCTAAAATTACTTCAAAATCATAATTTAAAAGTTGGGAAAAATACACAAATTTTACTAAAGAAGATTTACAACGGGATAACTTCTTGAAAAACTGGTTGCCTTCTTAAGTGGTCAAATTTCGAACTGAAGTCACAACAAAATATCACCTCACATCCACTTAATAGATAAGACTCAAAATTTCCAATGTTGGCAAAAATGGACAGTAACTAAAAATCTTGTATTACTGGTTGGGAGTGTGAAAAGCGTCCAATTCTTTAGAACACTCTCTACCAGTTTCCTATAAAGTTAAGCAAAAATCTGTCTTATAATCAAACAATTTTTAGGTATTTACATAAGAGATCTGCTAATATTCAGAACAGCTAAAATCTAGAAACTACTCAGGTGTGCATCAACAAGAGAATAGATAAACAAACTGTAATATGACCATTTAGTGAAATATTACAATTATTTTAAAAATTTAAACTAATGATATAGGGAATATCATGGATAAATCTCAATATCATTATGATGAGTGGAAGAAGTCAGACACACAGTGTGATTCCATTTATATTAATTTCAAGAACAGGCAAAACTAATCTATGATCATAGAAATCACTTTTTTTTTTTGAGAAGGTGGTTGGTTGGAGTAATAAAAATATTCTATCTTCTGAATGGGATATAATTATTTTTAAGAAAACTTATTGAATTATACAATTAATACATATATATCAACACATTTAACTATGTAAATTTTATCTATGTAAAAATATAAGTTATTAAAAATAACAGGGAAGCTCCACCTGGCTATGTAACCATCAGCTAGAAATATTGGAATATTTTTATATTACATAAGTTATGAAAGAAAGATACAGAACAGTATAAAAGCATATGTTTGTGTGTGTGTGTATATATATATATATATACATTTAAAAATAAAATTTTAAAAATGTTTATGGGAGACAAAAAAGTGTTATGATTTCTCTAGCTTATTTGAAAATACTTAAAATTAACCTGAAGTAAGTATGGCAAAATGTTGATAATGGTGGAACCGATTCCAGTTCCTCGTATGTGCTAGTTCACTGTTTTTTTCTCCTCATACACTGTATGTCTACAATGTGTTCATAATGAAAAGTTTTATAAAATGCACAGCAAGATAAAACTTTCATTGCCAAGAACAAGTGAAAATGAATGTATTACACATATTTAAGAATTTATTAGGAAAAGAAAAGAATACAGAAACAATATATATAAGTAAATTAGAACCTTAAAAATTAACTGATAAATTATACTAAAGACCTGATTGAGGGAGAGGGAACGGGAAAGCTAGGTGATGCTAAATATCCACAAGTTAGACTTATTCATTGACAAAGGCACAGCAGAAATAACTATAAATGAAATGAAAATGAATACATAATTGAAATGAGAAATTTAATAGAATGATGAAAGTGCACTTTGTATAACTTAATGCTAATGTGTTTAAGATCTGCATGAACTGTGATTGGCTAAGAGAAAACAGGTTAAATTTAAGACACAAAACAAAGAACAAGCAATAACCATACAAAAAAAGGAAAAAAAAAAACCTTCTATATAGCTTCCCTTCTAACTCCGAACCACCAAGAACAAAGGAGAGTCCAAATGATTTCATTGATGTGTTCACTTAAACAATGATAGTGAGACTACAGCTTTTTTTTTTTAACCAACTCTAGAACATAGTATAAGAAGAAAATCCTTAACACAAACAGATTATCTGACATCAAAACATGACAAAAATAGCACAAAAAAGAAAAATCACAGATCAATTTCACTTAGTTGTATACTTGTAAAAATTATGAATCAAATTAAAATACCCACGATTAAGTAGTAAATTAAAAGAATAAAACATGTTTTAACTACCAGTAGAGTCTGTTCATTCAAGGAATAAAAGGAAGTTTCAATAATAGTAAATTAATTCATAGTGACAAAAATCTTTAAAAAAGAACAATAAAATTGTTTCTGTAAAAAAAATTTCATTATATCTACCGCCTGGTTTTGATAACAATTCCTTACAAAATATAAAAGGTGGAAGACTTCCCTAACATGATAGACAAAGTATTTCACACTTAAAATCAGCATTTTACACATTAATGATTAAGACCACCCACGTCAAAATAACTTACCTATTGGAAATAAGACCTGATACCACCCCCAGCAGAGTCCTGCCCAGCAAGATAAAACTGTAAACCAATAAATTCAGTTTGCTTATCTAAGCAAATAGCTTTTCTATCACTGATAGCATCTCTATATAGGCAAATAGTTCACCTAGACAATGATTTGATCATCAAAACTCACATTAAGAACCTCATGTCACTTTCCCACCAATCTCAAAGTATTGCATGATAAATTTTGCCCATTTCTAATCAGTTCCCTGCCCAAACCCCAAAGCCTCATTTCCTGATTTTTAAACACTATTAAACACTATCAAGGTGGTGTTTTCCCTTGCTGCAAGTAAGTTTAATAAACTCAGCTTTGCTTGATCATAGCTCTTTCTGGTGGTCTTTGGGATAAAATGACCAGCAACAATGTGCCAGTCAAACCAAAGAAGCATTCCATTAAATCCTGATTAAATCAAGGGTGGGTAATATTTCCATAACTGTTCAAGTGTTCTGATAGCAACAGTCTGTGGACTTTGTCAACATAACGAAAATCAGGGTCCATATGAAGGGGGAAAATTAAAGCCTTGAATATTTGCAAAAGATTTAGTCTGTACTTTGAAAAAATCTGAAAAGCAACAAGAAACAGTAAGGTGGCCACTAACCCCCAAAACACAAAACAAAACAAAACAAAACAAAACAAAACTTTAGATACAAAAAATGAACAAGAAAATAAATTAAAAGAAAAACTCCCGTCACCAAAGTGAAAATATTAACAGTAATTAAAATTATTGAATAAAAAAAGACATACCTTGTCCTTGGATACGAAGACTTAATATTTTTAAAAACCAATTTCTCCCCTCAATTAATTTATTAAAGTTGATGAAATTGCAGTCTAAACTGTAATTTCTTCCAACGAGAAGACACATGAGACAGGAGGCAGAAGAAGAGACACACAAATCCACAGAACAAAAATGGAGCCAGTCACAGATGAGAGTACAGCACATATGCGCAAGATGGCGGTACAGATAAATGGGCAATTATTGGCAAATAATCGCAAGTAATGGCAAATAACTTGGCAACTTTAAGATTTCAAAACAAAAAAATTTCTCATGATTTAAGAATTTGAATTAAAAAAACACAAAAGAATTAGAATTTAACATAGGTGAAGGATTTTATGGACTCAGTATATATATTAATCTTTCCAAAAATGACATGAAACTCAGAAGCCGTAAAAGCAAACATGGTTATACTTTGACATATAACAATCATACACATTCTTATAATAAAAACAAAGTTAAAAAGTGTGTGAAAAATAGCTATAATGGTTGACAATCCAAATCTTATTTTCCAAAATAGTAAATGAGCTCTTTGAAATCAGGAAGAGACTAAATCCTCCTCCCACCCACAAAATTGGACATAAAGAAGAAATTAAAAAATACAGATGGCTAATAAACATGAAAAAATGACCAAACTCAAAAACAAAAGAAATACAATTTAAGACAATAGTTGGGTGATCACATTGGTAAAAATCTTAAATATTTATGAACTCCATTGTCTGTGAGGTTGTAGGAAAGCTGGCAATCTCATTCATGGCCATTTGAGGATAAAGTTGTTAACCACATTTTTTGAAGGCAATCTTGCAATAATTTTCAAAATATGAAGTGTGCATATACTTAATCCCAGTAATTCAACTGATAATAATTTATTATGATATAATAGACAAATGCAAAATTATTTATATAGAGGGAGGTTCATTGCACAGAAATTTGGTGCTAACATAAATATCTATGAGTGAGAAATGCTTAAAACATTTAATTATATTTCATCTACAAAACATTCATGTCATCATTCAACAAATGACACAGATGTGTATGTATTACTGAAAAAGAAAAAGGCCACTGAATAAGAGCTGTTAAATGAAAGAGGTAATTTGCAGAAAAATGTGTTACAATATGGCCACACTCCCGGATCCTTCCCCAAAATGGCTTGTGTGTTTGTGTGCATCTGTCCACTAAAGAATGCATGCAGCTCACTCAATAGAGGAAAACTATAGGGATAGAACTGGAAGAGAGGAGGGCATTTAATTTATATATTAATTATTTAAATATGCTTTGAATTTTTGAAAAAATCATGCAGAGTTTCTTTTCAATATATCTATATTTTTCAGTTTACCATGTGGCAAATGAAAACTATAAATGTATATTTATGGGAGTACTGAGCAATTCCACCATTTTGAGCAGCTTGTGTAATATTATATCCTCTACTGAGGCTCCTGGGATTGAGTCAAGTGGCAGCAAGGGAAACAGTCACCATGCCCAAATTAAAGTCTCATCGATGATATCCCAACATGAGCATTTCTCAGTTAAGCATTTCTTATCTGCAGGAGGTATCCACTGCAACACAGGGAAGAGAGGAGTCTCCATGCATAAGGAAGACTGTCAATGTTTTGGTGAAGCTGGCAGTAGAAGGAATGGCAACAACTCAACAAATCCACCTCTTTGTGGCCATCACCTGCAAGGACACAGTGGGAAAAGTGGCAAAGGTGAGAAACATTTCCTAAGGAGTCATGGGGGTATGAGATCCCTCTTCAATCTTCCTCCTACATGTGCTAGAACAAATATACCCAGAGTGCACAGAGAAAACCTCATTTCTAGCAGCTGGTTCCATGATGAGGTCAGAACAATGACACTAAAACTTCCCAATGTCAAGGATGCCAGATATTGGTGCTGCTTTTCCTCCTTCTACTGGGCTAAAAAGTGATAGACATCCACAACGTCAGGTTTCATGTCTGTCTCTTCCCTTCTGTTTCTTAAAGCTCTAGGTCATTCATTTATTTGATCAGTCATTTCAGACCAAACAGTTTGTCAACTTTCCAGTCTAACAGTTATGGAGAAGCTACTGTGTCTCCTGTTTACATCAATGTTTCTGCATCACAATGGATCAAACCATGAGGAAGTTCAGTTTACTAGATGAGAAAAGTTAAGGAAATCCTTCATATTAATAGTAAATGTACTGAGATGTAGAAAAAGCCACTAAGGTATATAAGAAAAGCGGCATCTCTTAACTTGTTGTGAAATCTTAGAATCAATTAGAATGTAATCACAACGTCAATCTTCATAAAATTGCCACCTCGATTTCTACCCAAACATGGCTTCTCCTAGAAAGCAAGGACTATTTTAACTAACACCTTACCTTTAGCAGGTGGCCGAGGCAATGCACAGGTGAGGCAGCTCTTTGTCTAAGGGGGTGTTGGTTTGGTAATTTGCTGATAACATTCACTCCCAGAAGAGTTCCGAGGAAGTTGTGTTCTGCGGTGGATAAAAAAAAGAAAAAAAAGAACCGCCACTTCCAATGAAACAAGCAATGCGGCTGGAATCTGGAAATTTCTTCTCTGCTACTCTTTTATACTGATTTAATTTGGAATCTGCCCCTTACTTACACAGTTCTGAAATCACAACTGTCTAGTCCATAACCACACATTTCAGTGTCAGCACACTGCATCAGTGAACTTCTCTACTGCCCATTTCCAGATCCGACCAGATCACCCGGATCCCACCGAAAGTTACGTCTCTCTCTCTTTTTTTTTTTTTTTTTTTTTT